AGAGCCTGAAACTCCAAGTTTTTGGAGAGTGCGAAGGAGGATCTGATGATTCACCGTGTCGAATGCAGCAGACAGGTCCAACAGGATGATGACAGAGGAGAGGGATGCAGTTTTGGCAGTGTGCAGTTCCTCCGTGACAGCAATGAGAGCAGTTTCTGTGGAGTGACCTTTCTTGAAACCAGACTGGTGTGGATCCAGAAGGTTGTTCTGATTGAGATAACAGGAGAGTTGTTTAAAGACAGCGCGTTCAAGTGATTTAGACAGGAACGGGAGGAGAGAGACAGGCCTGTAGTTTATAACATCAGACGGGTTGAGAGTGGGTTTCTTTAGGAGAGGGTTTACTCTTGCCTCCTTGAGACTGTTTGGAAAGTGACCAGAAGTTAGAGAAGTGTTGATGAAATGGGTGAGAAACGGTAGAATATCAGGAGCGATAGTCTGAAGGAGGTTTGAAGGGATAGGGTCCAGAGGACAGGTGGTAGGGCGGGCAGATGTAATGAGGGTAAGAACCTCACTTGGAGAGAGAGGGGAAAAGGAGGTTAGTGTGTTGGTGGAAGGAGGGTCTGGTGACCCAGCGGTGAGTAAAGGTGAGTCAGAAAAAGAAGAGCGAATATCATCAACCTTTTTTTCAAAGTGGGGTAACAAAGTCGCTTGACAGAAGTGAGGAGGGGGAGGGGCTTTTGGAGGGTCCAAGAGGGTGGAGAAGATGGAAAATAGTTTTTTCGGATTGGAATAGGAAGATTGGATCTTATCTTGAAAGAAAGTGCTTTTTTCCTGAGAGATCGAAGCAGAGAAAGAGGAGAGGAGAGCCTGATAGGTTAGGAGGTCGTCACGGTGTTTGGATTTCCACCGTTTCCGCTCTGCTGCCCTAAGGACAGTTCTATTAGCACGCAGTGCATCATTTAGCCAGGGAGCAGGAGGGGACTGACGAGCCTGCCGAGATGTGAGAGGACAGAGAGAGTCCAGAGTGGATGAGAGAGTAGAGAGGAGAGTTTCTGCAGCAGAGTTTGGAGGCAGGAGTTGGAACGAGTCAGAGGAAGGGAGGGCTGAGAGCACCGATGAGGCAAAGGTAGAGGGGGAGAGGGAGCGAAGGTTACGGCGGACAAGTGCAGGATGAGAAGAGATTAGTTTGTTATGTTTGGAAAGGGGTAGAGAGAATGAAATGAAGAAGTGATTGGATGTGTGGAGCGGGTTTACAGAGAGGTTAGAAGTAGCGCAGTTCCTTGAGAATATGAGATCAAGCACATTGCCAGCTTTATGAGTCGGTGGGGACGGAGACAGTGAGAAAGCAAAGGCGGTTAACAGAGATGTTAGTTCGTCTATCTTCCCCGTCTGGAGGTTGAAGTCTCCGAGAAGTACAGCGGGAGGGCCAGTTTCAGGGATGTGTGAGAGGAGATTATCTAATTCCTCCAAGAAGTCCCCCAAGGCGCCTGGTGGACGGTAGAGAACAACAATGGTTAACTGTATAGGATGGGTTACTGTGACGGCATGGAATTCAAAGGTGGAAGGAGTGAAGTTAGGTAGTTTGAAGAGGGAAAAGCTCCATTTGGGAGAGAGCTGGAGACCAGTGCCACCTCCTCTGCCAGTTTGTCTGGGTGTATGGGAGAAGGAATATGCAGTGGAGAGAGCTGCTGGGGTGGATGTGTTGGATGGAGTAATCCAGGTCTCAGTGAGAGCAAGGAAATCCAGAGACTGCAGGGAGGCGTAGCCAGAGATGAAGTCAGCCTTAGGAACAGCTGACTGGCAATTCCACAGGCCGCCTGAAACTAGATGTTGGATCTCAGTGGAGCATGTGGGATAGACGAGAGCAGGCCGGTTATATCGATTACGAGATACACGGGGCCAGTGATAATTGCGAGAAGACACATGAACAGGAATGGAGAAAATACACATGATTATAGCATGAGGGGCTAAACAACCAAATAAAATAAAACACCAGCGATACTCAATCAAAGTAGGATTTGCCTACTCTTTGCCTCCCTCGTGACTCCAGCAGGACTCTAATGTCTTTGCCAGTCTTAGACTCCAGCAGGACTCTAATGTCTTTGCCAGTCTTAGCCTGTCTGACGCTGAAGCTGACGCTCCAGGAAAGTGCTACCTAAAATGGACACCTGATTGCTGAGTTCTCACAGCTGTGGGGCAACGTCCCTTTAATTAGTTAACTCTGCAGCTGGTGGCCCTCAAAAGGAAATCTAGACTGGCTTCCTCCTGATGTGTTATTGTCTTTTAAATCAATTACATTAAACCCTAAGTTATAAAGTTATGAGTTTAACCCTTAATACAGTTACACCTACTCAATAAAGCTCTTAGTATTCTACAAATGTTTAAATCAAAGTTAACCCTAGCAGTCAGTTAGTTCACTTTTAAGGTTTCAGTCAAATGACTTGTCCCAAGTTTCTGCCTGACAGATACTGTAGCGGTTTTGAGTTTTGAAATCACAATTCCAGTCAGATCAACTACAGAGCATTGATACAGAGTACACACACTGAAACAGAGAAGTCTAAAAACACAATGTTACTCACACAATTCTAGAAGTCTCCAGTAGCTTTCTTGTCAAAATCGAGTTGCACACTGGCAGGTCAGTGATTAAGATGAGATTTAAATACAGTTTCTGTTGGGGGAGTGGCCTCAGATCACAGCTGATGGGTCTCAATCGAGACTGGCTTCCTCCTGATGTGTTATTGTCTTTTAAGTCAATTACATTAAACCCTAAGTTATAAAGTTATGAGTTTAACCCTTAATACAGTTACACCTACTCAATAAAGCTCTTAGTATTCTACAAATGTTTAAATCAAAGTTAACCCTAGCAGTCAGTTAGTTCACTTTTAAGGTTTCAGTCAAATGACTTGTCCCAAGTTTCTGCCTGACAGATATGTCCATGCAACTCTCTGTTGCATTCACTGAACACGGGAAATTACAGTCCTACCGTCCTCTCTTGTGTCATGATGAAGTTCACGTAAAGCACGGTCAATGTATTATATTATTGAGGGAGAATTGTCCGGGGCTACAGAAAAAACATTCGGGCTTTGCGACACATAGGCTGTGTCTCAATTCAGGGGTTGCATCCTTAGAAGGGTGCATACGTACATTTTCGTTAAATAATACGGATACATATGTGACGCTAACTAGCTAGCTGGACGTAGGCCTACTGCACTGTTGTTTACACTTATTTTTTAATTCAATTCAGAAGTTTATTAAAGTCATACAGAGATCTTGGCTCTGTTATAGATAAGTTATACTTTATATTACATACATAGACCAAAGTGAAAACATTTAGACCGGTATAGCCTACAGTACGGTGGGATTTATAAAATGCTACCCTGACGTCTGCTGTTAGCTTTATTTATTTTTCTGACATGTTCCAATGTTTTACTGTTTATTAAACTTTGGGACAAAATTACAACCTTTTTATTCAGCTCATTCTGCTTTGAGGTATAGGGCTAAAAGAAAAGCCTATTTTAAATATTTCCACCAGATTTGATCATCTTTTATTTAGGTTAAAGTGTATTTAATTTATCCTAATCCCATAGTAATAAGACAATCAAAAATAGACAGCAGCCTTTTGCTTGATGTTAGTTTGTGCAGTGCTGTCAAAGGAATGATCCCTTAAGGATTGTTTGTCTGAAATGCTTAGTTACATTTTGCAATAATACTTTTGCAACCCTGTGTTTAATATGATTAATTCACTTTTTTCTCTTTCTCTTCTTTTTCTCTGTAATTAGGACAATTCTGGAGAAATGGATCTGCTGGAGAAGGACCCCTAATCTGAAAAGTGCACAGCGGATCATCAGGACAGAGCTGCCATCCACCTGGACCCCCCGAGGTGCTGGAGAAGGACCCCTAACCCCAGCGGATCATCAGGACAGAGCTCCATCCAGCTGGACCCCCGTGGTGCTGAAGAAAGCAAAAGGGCGATCAGGAACATCCTCCACCCAGACCTCTGCTTACTGCCGTCCTACAGACTTGTGTCTTACTTTCAGAATTTGATTTTGTATGTGTCCTTTCTTTTAATAGATATCTAACGATTATAGCTTGAGTCTGTCTGATTCCCCAAACAGCTGCTTCTATATACTTGCTGCACATATAATAAAAATAAACAACTCCATAAACACACTTTTGCTGATATTTGTGTTACTGCCGGTGATGTTAAATAACATGATTGATTTCCTCTGTCTCAATGATGAAAGTTATAATAATAGAAGACATGAAGCTGCAGAGAGAGGATGGATATATTCTTACCTCTACTTTGTGATAAGATGAAAATACAATATTAAATTGTAATTGTTAAACACATTGTTTATTTCATTTACTGAGGTTTTAAAGATTATTTACAACACGTGTATAAGCAGTGGAATAATAGGATATCTCTAGGTCATTAAACTGTCTTCAGTTTAATTTTATTAATACAAGAAATAGGTCATAGAAAATGTTTAATTGTGTATTTCAGCAGAGCGGGGGGCACGGTGCTGCTGGACCTGGAGGTGCTGACCTGGGGTCAGTGGGACATCATCTGGGCAGGTTTAGGGGAAGAAGGAGAATATAAACTGTTATTGTTAACAATCAATCTATACAACATGTTCCTTTAAAAAACATATTGTTTTATTAGTACAGAAAAATTAAGACTTATTTTAAATATATGAAATAATATGATTAAATTACATCAGCTATATATAATTTACTTGTTAACTTACTAATGTAACATTACTAGGGGCTAAAGGAACAGCTTCATCTTATTTATCTGGCCATGGTTCTCTTTATTTAATCTCCGACGGTGATCTCCAAAAAATGTAAAAGTAAAGTTTCTGGATCCTTTTCAGCTGATTTGCTAGCAGGCTGCTGGAGCAACGCAACCGAACAGCGCGTATCACGTGACGTAAATACGAAGCGCTCCGTAGGCTAGACCGTCTCATTTCGTAGGCCGCTCGGACCAGCCTACGCGGTCTCGTCGGCCGCATCCTGCGTCGACCGCGTAGGCTACGTACCTCGAAGGATACAACCCCTGAATTGAGACACGGCCTATATAGTTAATGCGGTTAATGAGCAGGTTTGATGATAGGGGCTGCGGTGTCTCATTAATTGTGCTCCGGCTGGGATATGATGAGTAACTTTGGCGCACGTGGCTCGTGACGGAGCCACGTGCGCGCACAGGGGAGGGGTATATACAAACGGCGATGAAAAACTCCTGAGGGGATGCTGGGATAAAGCTGAGAGCAACACTGGAGAGTACTCAGTATAGTGCATACAGTGCTGAATGAAAGCACGGAGAGGGAGCTGCAGCAGGATCTGGGACTTCTAAAGAGGAAGTCACTTGACATCTGATGGGAATACATCACTCTACGACACAAATGTGAGTTTTTTCTAGCTATTCATTGTATTTGTATTAGGAAAAATGCATTTTCACTGTGTTTTTTCTTGAATTGAATAGATACATTTAGTTTAAAGATATAATAATTTATCTATATTTATGTTTCCTTTATTTAGCCAGGAAGGTATAATAATCTAAATCTTTTCTCAAGGGTGATCTGGTCGTCATATCTCCATTACCAGTGTCTAATAATAATTTTGTATTATTTAAATATTAAAAAACACAACATAAATCATAAAAGAGGAGGCACATAAAGGAAATACCAGTAGAATCCATAATATATTTCAAAGGTTATGTGAAACAGCTATTGTTTTCACACAAGTTTGTGAAAGACCTTTCAAGCTAAGAAGGGATTACTTCCTAGAACCGAGCGATGTGGAGTAATTTAAAAATAATATATTATTATTTTATATTATATGGTTGATTATTGGTGCTTTCATTGAATATTCACACATACATAAATGCACACTTATCACTTATTTCCTATTATGAATATCTATTCCAAGATGGTAATATCCGTATTATATTGACATGCTGTTTTATTGTTAGTTACATTTGCAGCTTATTTCATGCAGGGTGAAAAGAAAGCGAAAAGGCTAATTATGATTTATGTGTTGTGAGTCCTAACTGTTGATTATACATTTACATTGGTGAAAAAAAGCACCATTATGCACATTTTAAGTCATAACTAAGATTTTATTGTATTGTAATTTTCAAAACTCAAAGACTCTAACAGTTGGATGGATTATTCTTTGTTGGAAATGGGATAATTTACATGGTTGTCAGGTGTTGTGTTGCTGCAAATTCAATAGCCTGGAGACCTCCCTATACATTATGTGGTTTGTGATGAACAATCAGCACATTATTCCACACCAGTGAGCAGAGAGATAGCGCCCTACACCGCAGAATGCTCCCTCTATGTCAGCCACTGTATAAGTCTCATAACTGTTTTTAAGTCTTTTTATGCAAATCAATGCAGATAAATATTTTGCGTCAACTCATGAATATATTTGTGCCTTATCTCCCTTTTCCACCAACAGCCTCCATGTAAGCTGAGTAGAAATGCCGACTCCTTGGTGAGGGTCAGAAAATGAACGCCTCTTCCTGCTGTGAACCTGCACTCAGCATGTATCAGCACAGCTCAGGGTTTGACCTCAATGCCAGCTGTGACTTGCTGACTCCTCACTGTAACCGGACGTCAGTGGACAGCACGCTGCAGCTGCCCACATTTTCTACGGCAGCCAAAGTCAGAGTGATCGTTACCTTCATCTTGTGTGGCATTTCCACTTTCTGCAATTTGGCTGTGCTTTGGGCGGCCCACAGCCACAAGCGGAAATCCCATGTCCGAGTGCTGATAATCAACCTGACTGCGGCCGATCTCCTGGTTACCTTCATCGTGATGCCCGTTGACGCGGTTTGGAACATCACAGTACAGTGGCTGGCCGGCGACCTGGCGTGCAGATTACTGATGTTCCTCAAGCTGCAGGCCATGTACTCCTGCGCCTTTGTCACAGTGGTGATAAGTCTTGACAGACAGTTAGCTATACTCAACCCTCTGGCCATCAGCATGGCCTGGAGAAGGAACAGGGTCATGCTGACCGTGGCTTGGGCTATGAGCGCCTTGTTCTCGATCCCCCAGGTAAGGCGTGGTAACACTGGTTTGACAAGACAGCTGTTTACCGCTAGTAAAACACTGAGACTATTAAGTGTCTCATAGAGAAAGTGCTGGGTTAAAGGAAAGGTCTATCGCTCTCGTGTTTCTCCATATACAGAGCAGGGTATATGCAACAGATTATTGGATCTGCATGCATTTTCTCAGTTTTATAGATATATTAAACTGTGGGCAAACCACACATCCTAGAAGCATTTTGAATGAGGCTTTACATGTATTTGACATACATTGATAAACATGGTTCATTATTCCCTTTTTATCTCAGCATTTACATAAAATGTTGCTATTCGTAGGGGCTTTGCTTCAAGAAAACCTACTTTTTGATTAGAAGCGCCCAAAGGGTCTCAGTGTTAGGGATTAAAGGCTCTATAGTTTAGTAACATAAGGATGGGAATCCCTAATCCTGGAAGTATAGCTGCTTCACTGTAAACAGTGAGACATATGGCAGCCTGGCATTATACTGTTGCTGGTGTTGTGACAATATTTTATGTGTGGCGATGTAATCCAAGTTCAATCGAATCTTCAAACAGACTACTAATTGGTGTACAATTCTGCAAAAGACTGGATTATATGGAGATGAAAATGTCTGAAAAACAGATTTTCGATTAGCACCAATGTATCCGTGTACAATGGTTTGTTTGATATCTAACAGAAATGTAATCCTTATCTTTTGTGCGATGCCCAGGAAAAACATTACAATGTCTGCCTGTTACACGATTACACTTCCACATTCTCAGGAAACAACTTGGTTATGTGTAAGTAACAAAACGTCTTGGTTAGGAAAAGCTTGTGGCATGGGTTAAAATTACGGAAGTGACGTGACTGTTACCTGACAAATAAATGAATTCTGCATACAAACAACGGTTAGCTGAAAGATAGTCGGGTGTTTCTTATATAAAAAAACAGGTTGCCACTTTCTGAATCTATTTTCTTGTAACAAAAACCACTTATCCGAAAAGGAACTGATGTTACACCTTTCTTACTTCTTTGTCTTCCAGTAGTTAAGGTTCAATCAATCGTGTCCACAGGTATGGAAAAATCTGTAGAGCAGCTTGCTTGTAGTTTTCAGAAAAGTAGAGCACACCAATAAGGCAGTCATCTCCTTAGTCAACAAAAGTCTAGTACTTTATTTGTGTGCAAGGCATTTTTCAAGCTGGCTTGCTTTAGAATCCTGTAAAAAGGGTCTTAAATATGCATTGAATTGCTACCTACAACAAGATGTTCTGTATGTAAGCTGAATGTCCTAGCCAAACAACATCCTCACCATTTGACACAAAACACTGTTCAGATGGTTAGATCTATGATATGTTTTTCTGATTTTCTAAGTGTATTTTAAATTGTAATGTTACAAGAGAAAAACCATTTTTTTCTTCTCCATGATACATAAACACATTACTAATTTGACATGGAGCACTTGTCTTTGGAGGTCATTGATACGACCTACTTGAACATAATGACTTGGGATACTGTCAGACCACCAGAACACCATTATTATATAATGCTTTAATCCTTCTAACTTACCTCTGCCAAACAGACAGGGGGAAAAGAAAGTACTGCAAGACCATGGCATCCAGCAGAATGCAATGCATAACTTTTTCATTTTTAACTCCTCAGATTTTTATTTTCCATAATGTGACCATCACGTATCCAGCCAACTTTACTCAGTGCACCACTAGGGGGAGCTTTGTCACTCACTGGCAGGAAACAGCCTACAACATGTTCACCTTCTCCTGCCTCTTCCTGCTGCCGCTGGTCCTAATGATTATCTGCTACACCAGGATCTTCATTCAGATCTCTAGACGGATGTCAAAAAAGAACTGTAAGTTCAAAGCTAATCCTGATTGGTCAGAACATAGTATATTTGATAGATAGTTTAGTAAATATGTTAATTCATATTCAACTCTCTTTATTTCCTCCAGTTTCGCCAAACGAGCCAAATCTCCGTTGCTCAAAGAACAACATCCCCAGAGCTAGAATGAGAACTCTGAAAATGAGCATTGTCATAGTGATCAGCTTCATAGTCTGCTGGACTCCGTACTACCTGTTGGGTTTGTGGTACTGGTTTTCCCCCGACGACCTGGAGGGAAAAGTCTCCCACTCCCTCACCCACATCCTGTTCATATTTGGGCTTTTCAACACCTGCCTGGACCCCATCATATACGGCCTTTTCACCATACGCTTCCGCAAGGGGCTGAGGAGCTGCTACCGCAAAACAACAGTGACGTCAGATCGGGAAAATAGCAGGGTGATATTGAAATGTACTGAGCCTGTTTTACCCTCTAATAGAGGAATGGCCCCTGTTGACACTGACAGCAACTGTGAACAGACTGAGTCAACGTGACTTTACCCTTTGGTTTGTTGACTATCGTTAAGCCACGAGTTCTAGAGCCATCGCCATATTGGTTTTGAGAACCAGTGGAGTGCACCAGCTGGGCGTAAAAAAGTAGGTCTTAACTCTAACGTCGGGCTTAGCTACTTCCGACTTAGTGATTCGAATTTACACCGAGTGCACCAAGCCTGACTAGTCACGGTCATAGCTGCGCCTAGTCTTAAGATACGCGTCCACGTCAATACACGCAAAACAGTAATTGTTGCCAAGCAACACACGTCTACATAATTTAACACTCAAACTTCTCCATTCAAAGCAGCCCGTTAGCGTAAAATCTGAGCGCAATCAGCACCTGCAAGGTTGGGGAGAGCACAGCGTTTCTGTCTAATCCAGTGGTTCTCAAAGTGGGGGGCGCGCCCCCCCAGGGGGGCGCAGAGGCATGAGAGGAGGGGCGCGAGAGACCAGGAGGAAAAATGGTTATTAAAAAAAAAAAATCCTAAAAAAAAGAAAAATCATCATATTTTCAAAAATGATTGATTCGAAAATAATATGATACAGTGCTATTACGTCTGGGTCTCTGTGTTTCATTAAAGTGTGTGTGTGTGTGTGTGTGTGTGTGTGTGTGTGTGTGTGTGTGTGTGTGTGACGAGCCATTTTGTGTGCGAGCGAGCGAGAGAGAGATAGCGTACCGGAGATCGTTGTTGTTAGCTTCTGGTGCTAGCGAGCTACGCTAACGGATATAAGGAGTTTTTTTAACAACAAAGTGGAGGAGAGTCCTCTCCTGTCAGACTGAGAGGCTCAGTGAGCTAAAGGACTCTCTCAGTGTTATCTCAGTGGGTCTAAAACGTTTTGGTCAGGGGCGTTGCCTGGACCTGGAAACATTCGGGGCTTAGCCCACAGTGGCGGCGCTACAGTCGAATTTTCTACTGCAATACTCCCCACACGCACATACACAATTGCGCCATCTGGTGTCACAAACGTGTGTCTGCATTAGCTTTGTTACGGCAATGGATTGTGGGAGATTCTCAAAGCACGTGAGGTTCTCTTGAGGGTAAGGTGCCTGTATTATCTCGGTGGACAAAATGTATGTTTTTATTTTATAAGGACAATAACGTACTGTTGTGTTTGTTTAGTTTAATGTTAATTGTTTAATGCTCACAGTCACAGCAACATGTTTTTGTGTGATTGGTTTTATATGATTTATCAACGTGATCATCAATAGCTAATCTGAGCACCAGACCCCAGCTCACGTGTCGTTTTATGCTGTCCATTGAAATGCAGGAAAGTAATCACCAGCTCTGAGTGATCTGTTGCCGAGGGGACACTACACCGGAGTTACATAAGCAGAGATAAAGTGCTATTTTGAGGGAACTCACCTTCTCTGGGGTCCCCCAGGAAGAATTTTTTTAAATGTTGAAGTTAAAAGCATCAATCTTGTGCACTTTGAGAGCAACATTAAGAGATATGGATACATCTCTCAACACCCATATGTCAACAAAAATCAAAGAATCAGAATCAGAAACGGGTTTATTATTTAAAAACACTTTATTTTCCAATTAAATCATAAACTATGTCAAATTATTAGAAGTTGTTAGTAATCAGATTAAACAGAAAAAAGGGATGGAAGGAGGAAATAATAATCCCTCATCACTTGCTGTTTGCGGTTGAAATGATCTCTTTTGCTGGCCAAACATGCTGGATGGAAAGCAGTGGTGTCTCACTTGCCTTGGCCCTGTATCTGCACTCCCTAAATCAGTCATGTTACTCATTGACTCTTGTCTGTTCTGGTGTTCCTGTTCATTGTTGTCTCCATTGTCGTTCTTGTCTGTTGTATCTCCTTCTTGTGTGTCCCTTTCTCCTGTTCTCCTTTCTTCTTCCTCTACTCTGTTTGGCTCATCTGTGATGACTGTGTAGGTAAACACAAACAAGTATGTAAGTCAATCAGTTTCCAGCTCTGTCAAATAAATGAATTTCAAGATACACAAATTTGTCTTCATTAAAATGAGTGTCACCACACTGTCACAAAATGTAATACTAACCAATTGAAAATAGTTAAATGTACATCTCTTGTAGATATCACTGTTAGAGTAGTTATCTGCCAATAGGACATAATCATTCCTATACAAATGCAGTTTGAGTAATTCACTTAATATATTCACTTCATACTTTAATATAGTCATTTACACTTAATACTCTAATATAGTCATCTTTCTGCATTCAACACTAAGGAAAGCTGTACAATTTGATATGATAATGAGGAAAAAAGGCCTCCGACAATGCAGATCATTTTGTGATCATATCAATTTTAAGATGGGGGTCAAGGCTTAATATTTGGGAGCATAGTGTCCCTTGCTCCCTTTCAGGAGCCCCACTGGATTAGCTTTGATCTGAAAGCTTGTTAGCTGGCTGTCCATCTCATAATGTACACATAGAAACTAGCTGTCAATAGGAATATCAATCAGAAGAATTATAATTTCATGCAAAAATCTGTCACAAAAAGAGGTTGCACATTTAAATTCAGGTGTTGTTATGGCAACGTCAGTGGCCAGACAGCCACATTTACTGCTGCAAATACGTTCAAACATGCTGTTGACACGTAAAGCAGTGGCAACTATGCCACCATTTCAGCTGACTTTTCCTCAGAAATACCGTCACATAACATCCATATATTTCAGTGCTAGGTTGATGCTTAGCTAAGCTAACTATGAAACACTTTAACTGACAGGACTCCGGATCAACTGTGTACTGTAAGGTAGCTTCTAGCTTCATGTCGAACACTGACAGTAAGTCAACATTTCCCAGAGAGCTTTCTTTGAAATCACCAAGTAACGCTAAAAAACACAACATTTAGATTTTATGACAAAGTGTTTATTTAATATATCTGGCTAGCTATAGCTACTTGCTAACGGTTTAGCTTACCCCCGCGATTCAAAGTAACGTCAACGTAGCTATAATTTATGCTTTGCTTACATGTTGCCATAACTTGTAATTTTACTGACATTTACATACCTTGTTCACCTGGCTCAGGTGGTGGCTCTGGAGTTGTTGTGTGAGCCACCACTTGAGAATTGCCGTATTTTTTATGTAAAAAATGTCTAATGTCCATCTTCAGAAACTCCGCGTCCGCGGCTGAAAGTTTAAAGTTTAAACATTGTCACAGAGGAGAGGTCAGCCAATAAAACACGTTTATTTCCATGCAACTCTCGGATTGGTCTGGTGGTTGCCTCTGTTGCATTCACTGAACACGGGAAATTACAATTCTGCCATTCTCTAGGTGAAGTACGGTTAATGTATTATATTATTGAGGGAGAATTTGTCCGGGGCTAAAGAAAAAACATGCCTACCCCAGGCGACGCCCATGGTTTTGGTCACCATTAATGTAAACAATTATTTCCGAGGCACACGTTTATATGATCATTATAGTTATACAAAAATAAGAGAATAAATTAAAAACAGGTATGAAATACTATATGACATTAAAAAAAGAATAAAGTTTTAAAGAGTGATTTGTAAAATATCCATAAAGAAATAGTAAATCTGTTTACAGTTCTGTGTTGAGAGATGTATCCATAGATCTCTTCATTTTGCTCTCAAAGTGCACCAGATTGATGCTTTTAACTTCAATATTTAAAAATCTTCCCGGGGGAGCTTGCCCCCGGTCCCACTATGTGAGGTCCACACACCACCTATAAAAATAGCACTTTACCCCTGCTTACACCTATATGCCGTGAGCTGATTATCGAGGCTTCATTGTAACAGTCGCGGGTACACTGTGTATATGCGTGGGGAGTGTTGCAGTAGAAAATGCCACTGTAGCGCCCGGTACATTAATGGGAAACCCTAAATGTTTGAGCACCCTCTATGAAACGTCAAGCTACCCCACAGCACCGGCAAAATAAATCTCTGGCGCCGCACTGAGCCTGACTATTTGTGTTGGGGGGGCCCGACTTTTTTTTTTCTCCAAAGGGGGGGCCTGACAGAAAAAGTTTGAGAACCACTGGTCTAATCCATGCTGTAGTTGAGGGGAGATCTCCTCGATTCATTCTAAAAGGGCTTGTGTGCCGAAACGAAACCTCTCTATCTCTATCACTGTCCGAATAGATGTCCAGTGGGTTTGTTCGATCACGGACGACTCTCTCTTGTCTTAATGCCCTTTCGTTGTTAAACCTGTAAACAAGACGCACTGCCATCGTTATTTTCCTTCTTGCCTGTTTTACTTTACAATGGATACTACTCTGTCTTTCCGATTCAAGTCTGCTCCATACTAGGCGTAAAAGTTACACCCAGGCGCAATGCATACAGGGCTTAAGTCTAGTGGTGTACTAGTCATAACTTTAGTTTGGTCTTAACCTTCGGTTCTACGTCAGACTTAGAATTACGCCCAGCTGGTGCAATAGGGTGTTAATGGGCCTCTACGTGATTAACAGGTCGCAGAGGCAGCAACTTAGTCAAGCCCTAAAGCATATCCTGCTTCATCGCCTATTTAACTCATCATCAACATCATGCTGTAATAAAGGAGACTTGAAACTAGTGATTAGGGCTGTAAACTCATTAGAAAAAGTTCTGCTGAGGAGATAAATCAAGTGAGAAGTAGAGTAATTTTCTCATAGACTTCTAGACAATGAGAACAGTGGAGTCGCCCCCTGCTGGATATTAGAACAACGCACGTTTAACGCAATTCCCCAATGGCTACACTTTTCAGACCCCAAAGAAATGTCCTTATACAGTCTTTGATAGAACCAGGAACCTACACTGCTAATTGACCTGGAACAATTTCACCTTTCCGTCAGTTATCTGTATACTGGACATGTTTTTTCAGAATTACAACTTCAATCAATCAATCAATCAATGTTTATTTATATAACCCAATATCACAAATGTTAAATTTGTCTCAGTGGACTTTACAGTTTGTATAAAAAAATCAGTATGACAATATGACACCCTCTGTCCTTAGACCCTCACATCGTACAAGGAAAAATTTCCGAAGAAAACCCACAGTTTAAAGGGAAAAATGGGAGAAACCTCAGGGAGAGCAACAGAGGAGGGATCCCTCTCCCAGGACGGACAGACGTGCAATAGATGCCGTGTGTAAATTGAAAAGATAATACATTTGCAACATAGGTAGTCCAAATGTTTGGAAATGCATGTGTGTATAATAGGAAGATGAATCCACGAGGATATCCATCCAGGACTTATGATCGAGGACCACAGCCACGACTCAAGATCCAGGACAGAGGAGCGCAGGATCATCCATGACTCCGGATCCCGGCGTATATAGACACCAAAAAGAAAGACATTTGGGGAAGCTGGGTTAATCGGAACATGAGAGTACACAGGTATAGACAGAGAGAAGGAAGAAGTAAGATGTCCCCCGACAAGCTAAGCCTATATCAGCAAAACTAGGGGCTGAATCTAATCAGCCCTAACTATAAGCTTTA